TCTATCTATCTATCTATCTATCTATCTATCTATCTATCTATCTATCTGTCTATCTATCTATCTTTCTATCTATCTATCTCTATTATAAGTTTTATACACTTTTCTAACTGGTTAGTTGATTGCTGAGCTAAATCATGGCTGTAATGTTTCTTTGTTTGGAATAAATAAATAAATATATAAACAAATAAATAAATAAATACAAGTTTTTAAAACATTGTAACTCAGATTCTGATCTTGAACTTTGAAATTAAAATGTGCGCAAAATGAAAGGGAATTAATGCAAAAGAGTTTTTTTTTATTTAAATATTGACGAAGCACGGTGGCACAGTTGGTAGAATTGCCTCCTCTCAGCAACCTGGTCGCCAAATCAAATCCCGGCCCGGGACCTTTCTGCGTGGCATTTGCATGTTCTCCCTGTACATGTGTGGGTTTTCTCTGGGTACTCCATTTTCCTCCCACAGACCAAAAACATGCATGTTAGGCTGATTGGTAACACTAAATTGTTCCTAGATGTGATTGTGAACGTTATTTTTTTGTCTCTATGTGTCCCTGTGAAGGACTGGAGACCTCTCCACGGTGTCCCCCACCTCTCGCAGCTGGACATGGGCACCACGAGTGATCCCCGCGACCCAAACAGGAAGGATGGATGGACATAATTGTTTTTGAAATACTTGTTTAAGTTTTTACTTTAAATCAGTTTAAAAAAAAAAAAAAAAAATTCTATTTGAAATTTTGCATATTTAAATTTTAATTATTTGTTTTCTACCTTTAAGTGTTTTATTTGTGTTTTAAGTGTTTTATTTGCCTTTATTTGGTTTAATCAGAACTTTCTTAAACTGAACTCAAAGAAAACAGAAGTCCTTCTTGTTGGCACCTTATCCAAATATGTCCACAATTAAAGTTGATGATTCCACAGTTGCTCCCTCCCCTCCCTGCTCTCATTTAAATGTAACCTTAAAACTCACTTGTTCAAACGTGCTTATTCTGTTTAATGTCATTATCTATTTTATCATTTGCATTTGATTTTATTGATATCTATTTTATTGTTTTATTGCTTTTTATCTTTGTATTTCTTGTACGGCGACCTTGAAAGGCGCCTTCAAATAAACGGTATTATTATTATTATTATTATTAAAAGTATTATTATTTACACATTTAAAACCTTTTTTTTTTCATATTGTTGGTTTCAATTAATTCTTTGGCAGTGACTTCACATCAAATCTAATATCCTTTGAAAATGCAATCTGTTAAATTAAACATTACACATTAAACATTATTAACATGTTCAGTGCTTTACGAACTGCACATGTGAAAAATGAAACTGTGATGAAACATCCAACAATGTGGTTATTCTCTCTGGTTTGATATTTAAATTGAATCAAAGGGGTGATCACTAATTTTATCTAAATTTAAAGCACAACCAAAGTGTTTGATGAATGGTTGCAAAATGAAGCACAGCATGTTATTAGCTCCCATTGCTCACTAAAATTCCCTTTTCTAACATTGATTTCTACAAATCGTCCCTGAAATAACTCAAATAAATCCAATATTTTCCCGTTGTGGTGCTTGATAAGACAGATCAGTTTACTTTGTTGCATTCTCAGGTTACTTTTATTTGTTTGCAGAGGTAAGAAAAACTCAGTGAACATCATCGGCTGTTCTTTAAATAAAACTGTTCAGATCCAGCAGACTCACTGAGGAAGTTAAACGTTGTAAAATCAAGTTTCTGCACAAAACTGCTGCGACTGCCTCAAAATTAAGTACGATCATTAGAATGACGTACATGTTTATCTATTAGATGCCTAATCTTTAAACCCTTTTCATCATTATCGCTGTTGTTGTTTAGTATTGTATTTATTAAGACATAAGGCATACATTGGAAAACATCAAAACAAGTTTCAGCGTCAGGATTTAAATAGTTCTTTTACAACACTTGAAATTCAGAAATTTCTGAAGCTCTGTCTGGATATTAATGCTCAGGTGGATTAAAGTTTGGACATTTGAGTGCACTGTGATGTAATGTAAATATGTGACCACTAGATGGCGCTACAATGCTGTTAAACACTCACTGTGTCTCATTCTCGCCTCAGACTCAGAAGGATTTCTGAATCCTTGTAGATGTTTTTAATGTTTCTACAAGAAAATTAGAGGCTGAGTGTCAGCAGTAGTTTCACTCTGCATGTTGGTTTCCTTTAAGCATTTAATGGAGGTGTTTGCTTTAAAATTTGCAGATAAAATAGTATCTGATTAATGATTATGCGTGGCACCTCCTGGACTTTTGGTGGTGTCACAGAGCCCAATTTAATGATGATGATGGTGACAACACAGCACCGGTGTTCGTCTTAACAAGGATGTCCTTCACCTTTCAGAGTCTTTTAAAAAATATAATCTATTTGGATTTCCCTCACGCTCTCTTTTGGAAAATATGTAATAAAACAGCATGGTAACGGTATCCAGATGGTGAGAGGAGCCACTAGTGTTGTGGAGGTCTGTTAACACTTGGCAATCAGGGCCCCAGCTGTGGACTGTAAGGTTCAGTGCAGGTATTTGTGTAAAGGAGACATAGTTTTGTTGAAGTTTGTCAACGCTGGTTCTAAATAGCTAAACAGATTCAGTCGTTAGCTCGTAGAAAGGCAGAATGATGGATTTATGCTTGTGCAGTGTCACATTTAAACCACACAAACAGGTACTCACCAACATAATGTCCCTTTCCCTCTCGAAATGGCGGTCCAACGGGTCCTTTCATCATAGGCTGCATGTACTTCATGTGGGTTATGGGGGGATAGCCTCCAGCAAGAGCATGACCCCCAAGCATCAGTAGCACACAGACAGGAACCAGCAGCATGGTCATCAGCATCACAGGTTGCTCATACACTCAAAGAACTGCAGGAGAGAGGGAGAAGACAGGCGCTGAGATTTATCTTTACACCCACAGCAGCAACAAGCCATAAAACCAGCGTGGTACAAGAATGGAGTCTCACCAGTACGCTGAAAATGACTAAAGGTTTGGTTGGCCTTGTTGCTCTTTTGAAGTGCGTTATAAATAAAGTGGTATGGTACGGTAAAGATTAAACACTCATTTTATTAAAAGCACAAAGTTTTACACTCATGGAGTTTAACGTCAAAGCAGCATTTTTGTTTCAGTAAGTTTGTTTAAATGTGAAATGACTGAATAAAATACACGCTATTTGAAGAAAGAGAACTGTAGTGTGTCGCCATCTGCTGAGGGAAAGTTGGTTTCTATCAGGGGTCTGCAACCTGCAGCTTTGGAGCCACATGCGGCTCTTTGCTCCCTCCGCTGTGACTCTTTCAAGCTTTGGCCAAAAGTGACATAAAACTGAATTTTATGTTTAAAAAAAAGTGACTGGTTTTAGCAGTTTTCCTGTCATTTCCTTTGCAAATATGGGGATACTAGTACTAATACACAGAGTAAATTATACTCTCAACTTCATGCTTTATTTCTTCAAAGTAGGATACTCAGTTTTTCCACAATTAAAAAAAACATATAAACCTGAACAGTTCATCGTTTTAGTAAAAAAAAAAAAAAAAAGAAAAAAATATATATATATTTTTTAATTTAATTTTATTTTGTTTACAAAAATCCAGTCCTCTGTGATAGACTTGCAGCCTGGATATGGGCACCAGTGACGCCCTGCAAACCGAAATGGAAGAAGCGAGTAAAGATGTTGGATGGATGGATGGATGGATGGATGGATGGATGGATGGATGGATGGATGGATAGATGGATGGATGCATGGATAGATGAATGGATGGATGCATGGATAGATGAATGGATGGATGCATGGATAGATGGATGGATGGATGCATGGATAGATGAATGGATGGATGGAATCCACTCTTTTCTTATGTCTCAAAATGTAAAAATATCAATAAATGCCAACAATCATTAGATGTTTTTAGTTTTATTATTTCACGCCTTCTGGCCAGAAAAGCCCCCTCTAACAAACTTAAAGTGGCCCATGGGCCACCAGTTGATAATGACAATTGTAGGTTTTGCAGCTCCGGACATATTTAATTTAGTGAACAAAGGGACAGAAATGGCTCTTTTGATCATAAAGGTTGCAGACTTTTGGTTTAGACGCTTGCAAACAGCCCACGAGTCACACTAAGCACAAGTCTGCAACAAACTGGAAGCTGCTGGAACACAACTGGTTTATTGGCAGTTTATCTCACCACTGAAGCCTCTGCAATAATTGACATCTTAAAGTTTGACTTACGTTTGCAGCTAACAATAGTAATAATAATTTTAAAAACTTATAAGAAAGCTTCCTGTAAAAATTTGCAAAACATTTGTCATAAAGCTGAACGGGCTTTTCATCCAAACAGTGTTTTTTTTTTTTTTTTTTTTTTTTACTAATTGAACCACAAATCTTCTAAAAATAAAAAAAAAATTGCAAACTAAGAATATGTTTTTCATCTTATCAAGCTGAGAAACACTTTATTGAAGATAGTATTGTGATGAAAGTTGTGTTTGATAAAATAAATTTGATTATTTGTGGTGTTAAATGGTTTTTTGTTGTTTTGTTGGGGGGGGGGGGGGGGGGGGCATTGGCTGCATTTTACTCACGTTTTATCTCAGTCCCTATGCTTGATGGTTTAAGACAGCTTCTCATAGCTCTTTGGGGCTCTTATTGAAAATGAAAAAATACAATATTGTCACGAGGGAACCGTAGGCTTATCAATGTTTGAAACAGAAAAAAAGGAAAAGAGTTAGTCGTCTCTGCAACAGTTTGCTACGAAGAGAATAAAAAACTAAAATTACAATTTAAAATAAATGTTTTGATGAGTTCATGCGTAGGCTCAGTTTTAGTTGATCTCTTGATGTTGGAAATAAACATAAATGGAACTGAAAATGTGCAAAAAGAAAGTTTTTATATCTGAAGGAAAAACCAAAAGCACCACAGAAATCTTGAAAAATCTGAATTTAACTATATAATAAACTGAAAAAGACTGGTTCTTTGGCAGCAGAATGCTGTACAAAGAAATGAGCAATAACTTTAGCCTTTTTCTCGATGATTAAAACATTTTACATTCTAAAGGCATAAAATTTTATGATGCAAATGAAGGAGACAGAAATATTTATTTACAGTATTCTGCTCGGGTCATTTGTCGCACAGTTCCAGCGGCTGCGGGGCAAAGCTTGATCTACGACCCCTAAATTCTTGTGACGGACTTCTTCTGCTTTAACTTGAAGACGTGACCACATTGTTCTCTGCCAAAAAGTTTTACCGCCATAGCCATAAAATGATCAGGAAGTAACAAGAGGAAACTTGCGTCTTCGAGATATTTTATATAAGAAGTTGTAGATTTGCAAGACCAATAAAATAATGTGTGGAATTTAAACCTAACTCAGCTAGCTTTGGACTTGAATTATATGTATTTTGATAATGAAGTAAAAAAAAAAGGCTCAGACTGCTCATATTTAAATATCAACCACATTGGGATTTCAATCAGCACAGAAAATATTTTGATTGCATTGCCAAGCTTCAACATTAATAAAATATACTGGACGAAGAAACGTTCAGTTGTGTTGCAGATCTCTCAACAGATAATAGAAACCGAAGAAAAAAAAATCTGGACAAATCAGAATAAGCTTTATTGTCATTTCACCGAAACGCGACAAAATTGCATTTCGGTACAGCCCGTCCGAGAGAAACATGAGCAAACAGACATGGGGAGACGGAGGTGACTGAGGCTGCCGGCCTCGAGAGGCACAGCCTTTTTTCTGATAAGGAAAAGAAACACGATGGGGAGTGGAGGTGTAAAAAAAAAAATCAAATCTGACACAGTGTGAGATTTGCAACAAAATGACCTCAGCACATGAAACAACAACAAAGGACAAGCCCCCCCCCCCCCCCCCCACACACACACACACACACACACCACCAGGGTGTCCCCCACATTACATTACATTAACCATTTACAAATTAAGCCCTGACCTTCATTCTCTAAGATTCTGAGGAATTCATGTGGACACTATTTTATCATTCTTTTTGCAGCCGTTATTCCAACTTTTGTCTTTTGTTTTGAGACCAAACCAATCCATTTCAGTCTTGCCCCTGCTCAGACTGGCTAAATCAGGTTAGAATCGTACTATTTCTTTAGACTGAAGTTATTCAGAGATCCATCTACAACAGGTAAGATGTTCATATATTTTAGCAACAGAAGCTGTCAGGCTGCAGCCCGATTTTTAACTGGTACAGGCCAAAGAGAGCACGTTACTCCAGTTTTGGCCTCCTTGCACTGGCTACCCATTCACCTTCGGATCCAGTTCAAAATACTCATGTGTGTTTTTAAATCACTGAACAGTTCTGCTCCATCCTATCTCACTGATCTTCTCCAGCCATATGTCCCACCGTGCTCTCTTAGATCAGCAGACCAGATGCTCCTTTCAGTTCCAGAAACCTGTCGTAAGCTCAGAGGTGACAGGGCTTTTTCTGTTGCAGGTCCAATACTGTGGAATGAGTTGCCACTGCGTGTCAGGCAGGCTTCCACACTCACAGTCTTTAAGTCTCGCCTGAAAACTCACTTTTATTCCCTTGCCTTTGACACGGTGTGATTTGATCCTGTCTGTAATCTACAGTGTTGGCCATTTAGTTATTATCCACTGCTATTTGTATCTATATTTTTATTTTATGTTCTCCTGTCCGCTGTGCTTGTTTGTTTCTTTTGTACAGCACTTTCGTTGGCCTTGTTGCTGTTTTAAGTGCTCTATAAATACATTGGTGTGGTATAGGATCTAGTTTTACAACATGTTCCCCTACCAAGCCCTCTGTTTGGGTGTAGTAGCAGCATCTTGTGTCTGTTTTGCATGAAATAATCACTGGCATCATGCGGTGGACTTTCTCTTTTTGTGTAATTATCATATGGTTCCTTCCAACTGTGTGTGTGGGAGCCAGATGCTCTCTACAAAGAAGCACTCTGTTTGGACCAAGAGGCTTTGCTGCAAAAGTTTACTCCGAGGTGCAGCAGTTATACGAACAAAAGTTGACATTGTCTAATTTGAAAATTACATCTCATTACACAATACGGTTAATTGGCAACAGGATTGGAAGTAATTTGGGAATTCACAGCAGACTTTATATCACAGGCAGTTAAAACAAGGTGTGCTCATTGGCACCATATGTGCTGAGAGTATGCTGTGATGGTAGTCAAATTCTTGATTTAAAGCCATTTACCAAGGAGTTTTCTGAGCTTTTGTTGAGGGAATTCATATTAAGCATCTGTAGTTCTCGCTTGTTTATGTTGCTGTATGTAATTGGAGCTTTTGTGATGAGAAATTACATATTTTCATCATTTTACATCAAAGGAAAACGAGAAACGCAAAGACAAAGATGTTAAGAAAAATAAACAGGAGGAAGAAGAGAGCAGTATTAGTCGGACAGTGTTTGCTTGTTGGCCGACTTTCTGGCTGGCTGGCAGAGGAGTTTGTCTGGTGTAAGGACTCTGTGGTTTCGCTGCAGATGAACAGCAATTTTACAGGCGGGCCTGGATGTTCAGCGCTGTGCAAGCATCAAACCTGAAGAACGTGACCAACACATATTCAGCTCAGAAAGTCGAGCAATGAAAAGAGATCAGATGCACAGCATCCTCCACAACCTCACTGTCAATCTTTTTTTTTTTAATATATTAAAAACAATACAAAGTGTGATATTCCTTCTTGTTGCTGCAAGAAATTGACCCATGCATGTCATTGCACACAACAAAACAGTCTTGATATGCATTCAATTCAGTTTATTTATATAATGCCAAGTCACAACAGAGGTCAACTCAGGTCACTGAACAGAAACATTCATATATAAAAATAAGTTTAAATTATTTATCTTACTGCTTTCA